GGAGTTCATCCGGTTGTCTTTGTACAGAGGGCCCAGAGTCTCGCAGACCTTGATGAGCATCGAGAAAGGGATCTTGTCTGGTTGCCCGCAAGTGATTCGTTGGATGTCTTCCGCCAACTTGTATAGGCAATCCCCCCGCACACTGCCAGCTGAGCCCTCCTCCAAGTACCTGGATGCCATGGCTTCGCCAGCTTTGGTTGCAAAGCTGGACATTTCAACGAGTTGAAGCCGAACCGAAGCTGAGCCAGTTGAACCGAATGGGCGGGCGGCGGGCGAAAACTCACTGAGCCGCACGCAACGCTGGCAGCAAAACAGACACGCTTTTCCTTGTGCTTTGTAAAACTCAGGAGTTGCCAAACTTCTCAGGCAAAGCAAAAACCTAAGCTGAGCCGGGCTCTCAGGGGAAAGACTGTGTTTCCGCAGCCTTTTCTAGATGCAAGTTCAGTCAGAGTTCAAGGGTAAACAGACAAGCTTACGCAAAAGTCAAATAAGCATTGTCCAACAGCATCTTTAATGGTGTAAAAGGTTCGTTAATGTCGGCCAGTTCGTTCAAGAAGTGCAGAACCTGGGTCGACTCTTCCACAAAGGCCCGCTCTTCAGCAGTGACGCGTGGAAGTTGCGTTGGTCCTGGAGAGCCTGGAGAGCACAAATCCCGCACAAGAGGCTCCCTGGCCTTATCATCAGAAGGCAATGGCGAAATCAGCGCGCGCTCCATACCAGCAAGAACGACTGCGAAAGGAAACATCGCGGCTCTTCGCCCAGTTCTTTCCATGATCAACCGCCGCAGGACCCGGCTGCATTTCCTGACAATAATCTCGTCAATCTTCAGTTCAATGACATGCAGCGCCACGCAATGCGCGAGCTCGTCAGCGTCAACCCCGTAAATGTCCATGGCAGCACGTGCGCCAAGTTTCACTACCAGCTGACATAGCAAAAACAACTCTCTGAGCCACCGGATTGTCCAAACATCAAGGCCCCCCTCCCTCCCCAAGATTTTCGGCAAAAAACACACTTCCGAAAAACGGATTGTTTTTGCATGATGGGAACTTTTCGCGAGAGGGGACCCTAGTCATGGCCCCTTTGCAAGGATGACACGCACAAATCCGACGTGCTCCTTTTGATACAGAGAAGATTGCAAGGCATGTGAAGCCGTTTTGACATCAAGGTGCGAAGGAAAAGCACCGCATGAGCTGGCTGCTCACACATAGGTTATGAGCCCAACGCCACATTAGGTGGCTGCGACAGCGCCGCAATGTCTGATGGCTCTGGCCCCGGGAGAACCAGAAGGGCCAGATCATTGGAGGAGATGGGCGAGGGCAACGGCAAGGGATCGAGCAGCAGCAGATCGGGGCCGTTGATCGTTGAGGTGGTGGATCGACGAATGGACAGAGGAGGCACCGCTGATCAGCCAGGGGCCAGGAGGTGGGAATCAGCAAGGGTTCGAGAACTACCTGTGCGGGAGTTGATCAAGGGAACTCGGCCTGATGGACATCATGAGGTGCGAGACAAGCCCAATGGCCTGATCCCTTGAAGGACATCAAGTACTTCATGATGCAGCTGATGGCGGACAATCAGTCCCTTCGCAAGGAGATGCAGCAGTGAGAGCACCGCCTCCTGGGATGGAACCGTATCCAACTGCAGCGTGTTCCGAGCCAACGCCATCTTAAACGTCAACTCTAAGTTCTTCTCCACCACACGGCTCACCATCTTGTGCAGCGCCCGAGCCACCGAAGCATCGGGTATGGTCACTCCGAGCTCGACCGCCCGAAGCCTCCACCTCATCCGCCTCAAGTAGATCACCGCCATGGCCAGATTGGTCGCCTCCTGCGGGCTTTCCAGGCGCTCTTCTCCACCAACCCACCCGGCTGATAGGTCGCCATGAGCTTGCACACAATGGCGTAGCCGATCTCCTCCTTCGCCCCCTCCGGGAGTGCCGTGAGCAAAAGGCCAACCGCCCTCCGCTCTAGAACATCGAGGTTCACGAAGCTCCTCCGGATCTCTCAGGAGCATCTTCAGCCGCTCCAAAGGCGCAGTGTTCTGGTACTTCAGGTACCAGCCCTTCGCCGATTCCATGACCTTCCCCCACCACGTCTGGGACGAGTCACTCAGACAGTCGCCGGGGTTCGATTCCACCCTGGTACACGGATAAGTCTCAAAAAAAAAAAATAAAAAAAAATAATCTGGGACGAGTCACTCAGGTCCGCCATGATGGGCTCCAGAAGGCACAACCAATCGCCCAGATCAATCGGGGCACTCTCCGGTTTGTACTCCGGCAGCTTCGGCAATTCCACATTTCCGGCCTTGACCACTTCGCTGGTGTCCTCGGCCGGGTTCTTCTGCTGCTTCATCAGCTGCTGCTGTGCGTGTTCTGGACGATCTTCAACATCGCGTCCTCCTGATCCGCCACAAGCTCCTCCGAGGGCTCTCCATCCAAGACCGCATTCTGTAATCGAAGCTGATCACCTCCTCCGACTGGCGTGCCTTTCTCTTCCGGGGTTGCGAACTTGTCGCTCTGGTCAGCTGACGTTCTTCCCGCAGCCGGTGCTTCTCGTTGGATCTCAGAACAGCTGCTGTCGGAGGTGAAAGCGGTGGCACATTTGAAGAAGAAGACCTCTGCGACGGTGAAGCAGACGTGGCCGAGTGAGGTTAAGGCGAAGAAGACGACCGTGGTGAGATGGTAAAGACGTTGGTCAACCAGGCCGGAATTTCTTCCTGCTCCTTGTCCATGTCAGTGTCAAGCTGCGTCGCCGCAGCTGATTTTGGCATGGGCAAAAACGGAGTTGGGCTTGCCGGCTCCTGCTGGCACTCCTCCTCCGGCAGCTGAGTGACAGTGGGCTCCTCCGGCTGCAGAGTTGGAGTTTCCTGCTCCATGCTCGGCACCACAGTTGGCGTCGGCGCAAGGCTGCTTGACGACCCGCCTCGCGGGCTGCGTGACCGGCAAGCGATGAACGCAGCAGCTCTTGCCTTCACGTTGGTGGGCTGAGGAGCCCAGGGGAAGCAGCAGCTCAAGGGTGTGAGATTCTTCACCTTGTCATAGTCCATTTGAAAGAACAAGTCCTTGCGTGGGACAGAGTCTTCTTCCCAGTGAGGGGTGTGGGCACAGTCGTGCCACCTGCTTGCTGCAATCTTTTCGTATACGGGCACCTCCACGTGGCGCCCCTGCAACTCTTTCGGCAGCAGGCGGCATTGCGGCTGGAAATTCCGCGAGCACGCCTCGCCCTGCTGGACCCGCATGTTATACCTCACGATCACCTTCACTATCACGAGGTCCTCCGCATTCCACACCAGCTCTGCGCCACGATGCATGTTAAAAATCGTCCTGGGGGTGTGGCCCAGAAGCTGGAAGCCCAAAGCGTAGTAGACATTCTTGCCGAAGACATTTGTCTTCCACGCGTAGTGGTCGAAGACGTGCTCCCAGTCTTCTGCTGTGTACGCACGAACAGGCAAGACTACAACAACCAAGGACTAAACATTCAGGAATCATTACCAAACACAAATTTCTTGGCAAGGCGCACTCCGACTGGTCAATCTCCCGATGTTGTTCCTCAGGACACATCATACGGGGCTTGCACCAATGGAGTGGCCAACTCCAATGACTTTGTGCCAGCCACATGCGACAGCTTCAGGAGATTCGCCAGCATCTCGCTCGCGATGCGGCAGCTTTCCAGTGCCCTGTGCGATGGCCGCTGTGTTGCCACAGCGGCTTGGTTCACTCTGTCCAGGAAGTCTGCAAGCGGAGTCCTGCAAAGGTCATAGAGGTCGCGATGACTCAGCATCGTGTTGACCTTCACCCACTTGTGCCCGGAATTCTGGTCGAGCGGCTTTGTTGAGACCCCATCCACATTGGCCATCCCGTGTGGCAGGAGCTCGGGTTTGCCAATGCGTTGAGGGCCATGGACCTCTAGTGTATCGTGGAAGAATGACGGCAAGACGAGATGTGGTTTACGTTTCTCCGCTTGCCTTCCTGCAGGGGCATTGCTTGAACAGTGTTTGCAATAGTTAGAACAAACGTACAGGGACATGCAGCTTTTCACACGCCCCAACCCCATGCACTTTCCCAAACCTGTCCTGAAATTTCTGGTTTATCAGCGTCGTGTCTTTTGCCAGCGTGAAGAAGTTGCCCGCGACGCTGGAGTCCAGCCTCTTCTACCAGTTCCCTTAAGGCGGCATTCTTGGCCGCATCTTCCTGCCACTTTCCACCATGCCTGTAGACAAGATCTGCTGGAAGTATGCTTCCAGCAGGTGTAGCAAGAAACCCGCTGCACTTTCGGTGCGCCAAGACATGCCAGTCGAAATTGACATTCATGAACAAGTATAGCGCCACACTGCCATACTCGTCGGAACGTCGCGACATGTCCTGCTGTGTTGTCAAAGCAGTCTTCAATCTGCCTTGCCCTTGCTTGAAGCCAAGGCTGGCGCGCAAGCAGTGTGAGATGCAGTTGTGTTTCATGATCACTGAACGGCAACAACATTTGAGAGCTGTTTTTTTCCACTAGCAGCCTGAGTAAGTAAGTTTGAACAACCAAGGCAAGGAGCTCCAACAAATAGATCATTCGACAGCAACTGTTCAACTGCGGGTGCAGAGCTGGTTCTAGATGCAGATTTGTCAACAATGTGGTGCGCATGGAGTTGCGGAAGCTTTATGTTGAAGAGGCGAAGGGCAATTCCTGCTGTCGCCAACGACAACACAACCGAAAAAACAAAGTCGTGCAGTGTTACCAGATGCCTGCATACCCTACTCGAAGAGCTGCACAGCCAACCCAGGGCGGGCCCTTGCTCATGGATTGACAAAGCATTGCGCTGCGTTTTTTTTTCTGGCTGCAAAATGTGCGAAGAGACTGTTGCAGCAGCAACTCAAGTGAAACACTGGCAAGACTGCGTGGCCGCAGTTTGCGTCTAGCGATGCTCGAAGACTGTCTCCTTGGGCTGTCTGTGTCTAGCAAGGCTTGATTGTCTCCTTGGACTCATTCTTCTGATTCAGCAGCCCAATAATCAAACGCCTTCCTGACTTCCGTCTCTGCCGTCGTCAAGACGTCATCCACATAGATCGAGACCAAACCCATCAGTCTCTCTCCCTCTTGCGTGATCTGGATCATCCGCCAAAGGTTCGGCTCCGCCACGCATTGCTCCAGGTGACATTTCCTCCCCTCCGTTTCCCAGACCAGCGCTTGTAGTTCCCGATCTCGATGGTCCGACCACCTCCTCGGGCTTTGCCGCAATCCGTACATCGCCTTGTCGATCAACCACAATTCTCCCGGCTGAGCCCAGCCCATCTTGATCATCACCGCCGGCGGCCTCATCGCAACCAGCTGCTCCGGCTCCTCCTCCGTGTGGAGATCCGCGTTCAAGAACGCTGCCTTGATGTCTAAGGCTGATGTAGTCCACAAGCGTTCCGCTCCAACTTTGAGCTGCAACCGAATAGCAGTGGTGTCCGTTCCACCAGCGTAGGTGTCCCCCTCGATGGTCGCATCGGCACTGACATGATTGCCGCACACCACCAGTCTCGTCTTCTTCCTCGCCGATCCAGCCTTGACACTGAAGATCGCCTTGCCGGGGACGACGGTCACCTTGCTCCCCTTGCTCTCCAGAAGCTTCTGAGCCTCCTTCGGGGAAAGCCTTCTCAAGGCCTTCTTCTCCACCATCAACGCATCGATTTCCGCCTTGATGGAGTCCCCCCACTTCTCCTTGTCTCGGATGACCTCAGTCGGCGAGATCATCTTGGTGCGCAACACCTTCTCCGTGTCCTCATTCTCCGGGACCTGGTGCTTCAGCGCCTCCTCTTCTTGACGTAGCTTCTCCTCTTCATCCATGATGACCTGCCGAAGGTACTTCAACTTCAACGCAACCCGATCTCCTGGTATCTCACTGACCACCTTGGAGACGCAAATCACCTTGCCCCCCTCAATGACCTGGACGGCATGCCCGTTGGACACGTCATACATGGGCGTGAGGTAGATCGCCTTCTGATGCGTTCCCTCAAAGGCTCGTTGTTTCCAAGCCCTCTTCGGAACCAGCACCTCCTGGCCGATTGTGAACTTCGGCCTCTCTGCGTGCAGGTCGTAGGCCAGCCGTGTTTCCGAAGCGAACCTTGCCACGCACGGCCACCACGATGTAGACCAACCCGTCATGAGGAAGATCCTCCTCATGACCGACTTCCCACCGCTGCTTCAGCCCGTTCTCCGGCTTCTGGTCCGGGGACCGAAGCGTCTTCTTGATGTCCCTCACCCTGCACCACGCGGCCAGCTCTCGAGACATAAATTCGCCCCCTTGGTCCGAATGGAGCCGGTTCACCAGCATGCCCTCTCTCCGGAGCCTGATGTAGATCTCCTGGATCCCCCCCAGCACCTCCTTCTTCTCCTTCGACCGGAGAGGGACCGTGAAGTAGAGCGTCTTCAGCGGGCCAGGCTCCTCCCTTTCCGGGATGATCGGCTCTTCCGCCTCAGGGTCCTTCTTCCACCTCCAGCGACTCCTCGGCCTCTTCCTCCTCCGGAATTTCCTCCACCGGTTCAGGAAGATGTCCCGAATCGTCTTCTTCTCGATGTCCTTCTGGTAGCGCCTCCGCTTCCTCCACATTCACCTGGGGCCATGTGTACGTCGCCACCAGCAAGTAGCGCTTGTCTTCCACATCGTCCGTGTCCCTGCCATAGCGGAACGGCCCCGTCAAATCCACCGAGAGTATATTTTCTTCCGGATGCCTGAGACGCCTGTGGGGTCGGTCCCTCGCTGACGCCTCCTGACAAACTCGGCAGTCCCGCCGATAGGGCAAATGTCCCAGCTTGATGTGCTCCTCCCACGAGAGCTTCTTCATCCTCGGCAGCTCTCTCATCATTTCCCATTTCAGGCATCGAGATATTTCTCTCATCATCCCCGGCGCCCATCTCGAAAGCTCCTTGGATGTCCTGAGCTTCTCCTCATCGCTCATCTCCCACCGTGGCTTCCCGCCGCCAACTCCCCGAGCTTCTCCTCCGGGCCGTTCCTGAGGTAGTCGTAGAGCCATAGTGGTCCCCACCGTCGTAGGCTTCGATGCCCTTCCATGCAGTCTCCCTGTTTGAAGGTCACCTCGCGGAGCCCGTGAGTCTGCTTCAGCCGTTGCCATTCCTCCGTTCTCCAGAATGACGGGCACCTCGGCTCATTCTTGGGCTCAGCCGGTTGCTCGATCAGGAACCCGACTCTCCCCTTTTCCTCCTCGTTCTCCGACTTGGACTTCAGGTCCGCGAGCACGTAGAGCAGGAGAACCGAAAGAGCAGCACGTCGTCCTCAAAGACGATTCTCTCCTCCTCCTTCTCCAGGTTCTTCATGCCCCACCGCTCCTCCACGGTCCTTACCGGTCTCGGCTTCTCCTTGTGTTCCAGCGGGTAAAACCTCAGCACCGACCTCGTCCGGCAATTCGGGCCACCGAGCAGCGCCTTGATCTTTCCATCCATCGCCAACCGCATCAGTCCGCCCATCAGCTCGCCCGACAGGAGGTCGTGATTCTCGCTTCGGACAACGTCAAACTCGAGGACGTTCCCGATCTGCCCGCGAAAGATCATGCCCATCACGCGGTCCCGCAAATAGATGGATCGCAGCCCCACCGTTCCTCTCCAGCCTCCTTCTCCGAGACCGATTCAGCCCCAAGACTTTCCAGCTCTCCGCCGGTTGCACCAGCAGCTCCTTTTTCACATGCCATGGAACATCCCGAAACACCGGGTGCTCATCTACCACCTTTTTCACATACTCCAGCTCTTCATTGACACTGAGCCTTCTGAGCTTGGCCATCTGCTTCTCCTCGAGCTCCTTGATGAGCTCCAACGCCGTGTTCATCGGCAACTCCGGGCACCCCTGGTTCATCGCCACGGGTAGATCCCTCGACATGGGTGACGAATCTTGCAATGTCCGCCCGTCCAACTCAGCCTCATTCCAAGCCTGCACCAAGGCTCCCATCGGCACAATTGGCTGTGTGCCCGAAGCCGCGACCAACGTTCCTCCTAAAGGATTCGTAGCCCCTGAGTCCACCAGGCCCCTCGTGCTGCTGAGCTCGACCTTGGACAGCTTGAGGGTGATTTGCCTCATCCTCATCTTTTCTCGCATGCTGTCCAGCTGCCGCTGCAAGCTTCTCAACATCTGTTCACTCTCCATCTTGTGGCTTTCCACCGGCGCCTACACATTCAGGCTCTTGAGCATCTTCGTGGTCTCCAACAGGGCCTCCTTCATCACATTCCCATCTCCTCGGGGTGACGCTCGTTGCATCTGGCGACCCTGCACCCACCGAAGACGATGAAGTTCCTACTCTGATGCTCCGCAAGACCAGATCTCATCCGTTGATCCTTCTGATCCATGGCTCTACTTGCAAGCCCGGCCCCTTCTGCAGCCCTTCTCAGTGAGGAAAAAACCGGCATGGTCGAGGTTCATCCGTTTTGCCCAAGACTCCCCCGACTCCTGGACTTCCACCTTCTTCGCCTTAACCTTACTCTTTTTCTTTTTTTTTCACCCTGCCGCCTTGCGCCTAGTGGCATCAGTCGGCTAGCTTGAGACTTATCCGTGCACCAGGTGGAATCGAACCCCGGCGACTGTCTGA